TTTTTCGCGCGCGAGTATACTCTCCCACTTAGGAATTCCGTACACAACTCGCCACCACCCCCAGGGGCTAGTTTTGTTCTTGGAAGTCTCTTCGACATAGTTTTCCAAGGCCGACAGTTTTAGGCTTTGAATCTCTTTTACTTAAAAAAAAAACGAAAGATAACTACGGATAATCCAATACAATATCAAGTTTAGTGAAATTTACCTCGGATGTCTTCCATTGAAATCGAGATCTGGAGATTAGGGCAAATCAAGACTAAAAACAGACTTAAACTGGTTAAGGTGAGCAGAAAATAAGCTTACTTTCAGTTAAACTTGACAAGAACAACTGAGGCAAAATAGAAAATAATGCAAAAGGCAATGCAAAATACAAAATGACGAATTCTTTGTTAGTATATTTGCGCTTGTAAATGTTTTAAAATATTTTTTTAGCTTTTTTAAAGTGAAAGTCTAGGTCTTCAATACAATAACATCTCTCAACAACACAAATTTAAGCTCATTTTCATAATCATACTTGCTCGAACAGCTTAATAAACCGTTGAATATTTGGTGTAAATTTATATTTCATTCAATAATTAAATAAATTTTCTGTAGAAAGATATAAAATTATTGAATGAAAGTCTTCAGCTTTGTTTTGCCAATGGGACCCCGCGATAAGAGGCGAACAAAGCCGCATTTTTCTTGAACGAAAAACATACGATAGTTGTAGGTTATGAAATATATTTAGGCACTGCCTAAAAGTGGACCTCCCGATACGCAAGTCACAGGGAGCCCAATTTGAATGAATGTGGAAGATAAAATTGAAATTGGAAAAAAATCTTCGATTATTTTATTCAATATTAAGATAATGTCTCCCATAATAAAAAACATGCACTGAAAACGAATCAAAAAGCACTACATCGTTTTCTTTGCGCGAGAATACTCTCCCACTTATATGAATTTTGTACACAACTCATCACCAAACCCCCTCCCCCCCCCCCTCCCCCCAGGGGCTATTTTTTTATTGGAAGATTCTTCGACAAAGTTTTCCATGGCCGACATTTTTTGTGCTGGGCCTATGGGCACAGTACATTAGTTTTTGGTGAGTTAGGTATATTCGGAATTTAGTTTTACGAACATGAGACCTACATCGAAGATGACATTGGTGGACCTCGTCATGATTGACATTGGTGAAACACGGGATGAAAATGCATGCACGTCGAGATCTGTAAGATCGGGACACGGAGGAGGTGAAAGAGGTTGAACATATGTGGTTTTCGTGGTAAGAGTGCCTTAATCCAACTTAGTTTGAACTTAATTTGGTAGCATTCTAAGCAGATAATTAGAAACTGGAGCTAAATTAGAAACTAAATTAGAAACTAGCGATTTTTGTTTTTTGATACAACTCGAATTAGTTACGTAAACAAAAGATTATAAATGGACAGCCCAGGAATTTCTACTGCGTCATTGATGTAAAATAGTACTCRCACGAGTTTTATATTGGTTTATTTATAGATCCTTTCACGGTTTCCGACGCCATATTGTTTGGGGGGCAAATTTAATGAGCTCACGTCATCGGGTCTTTAATGACAATTATCTCGCTTGGATGCGTGGGGACCCCCAAATTTTTTCACGTTTTTAGATAGCCCCTTGGGTACTCTAAATAACTGACACAGTTTCATTCAAATAAAAATGGGTCGCGAACTGTACCCACCATCCTTAAAAAGCTCATTAAAAATTAAAAGTCGTCATTTTCCAAGTGACGTGTGATTTGAAAGCTCGACCAATCAGAAACGCGGTGTACACCTGGCGGGCGACACTTTTAGCGTTACGTACAGGGTTCCCATGCGATGACCACGAAAACTGAGTTGAATAGTTTACCATATTCTATACCTATGGTGCTCCGCTCGCGCGGGAGCTCCACTAAAAACAACCGAATTGTTAAAAATTTACAAAGCTAAATGAAGGACGAATATTTGTTGTAATATGCTCTCCGTGTTATATTTCCTCCAGCATTAAAAAAGATTAAGCTTACCTATAGAAATATAAAAAGTTTTGAGAGAAAGTCTTTAATTTGTCGATTCGTCGAAAAAAATGCTTGTCAAAAAATAAATAAAAAAATAAAAAAATAAAAAAATGATAATAATAATATACAATTGTTTGCTAAAAAACACACACCTGAATTTTTGAAGAACGCTTCTTGATCCATCTTTGACTACATGAAAGTTTTTTTAATTGTTTTTGGTCTGTAGCTTGTCCTAAAGCGATTTTTTCTGTGCATTTGAGAGCCGCATTTGTGAGTGGTTTTGCTTTGAAATCAAGCGGGATTCCTGTGTTGTGTACACGGCCGTACGTATGTACGTACGTACGTAGGTACGGACGGAAGTGACTTCAGCCAAGCTATGAAAAGTCAACTCGATGGTTTACCATTTTTTCTTAAGTATGGTGCTCCGCTAATATTTTATGCAGACAGTGCTCGATTCACATGTTGATTTTTACGGAGTGAGGAAAACCGGACATCCCGGAGGAAAACCCTCGTGGCAAGGGAAAGAACAACACTTCAAACAAACTCAATTCACATATGGCGTCTGCATGCCTATTCCCAGATAAATCAATTCTCTCCCTCCTTGTTTCGCCTAACGTTTGGTGGTACATGAGCATTTGTCCATTCAACATTGCTAGAGGGAGGTGGGATTGGGAGAGAAGATTTGCTTCCTAATAGAATTAGGCATCTTGAGTTGTGGTTTTCTTTTTCTTTTATCAATATTGTATCCAAGGTCCACATTTCTTCATTTCATTAGTTATTACTCTTCAACTTCTCTTGTCGCTTTTACACCTAAAGCAAGTTTATCATTTAACATTTTACAGAGCCCGTAACTTTGTTTTTTATATTGATACATACCAAGTTGAATGTCTTTTTTTAAAGTTCCAACTAGTGCACCTGCGAATGTTACTTTGCTTTTTGTGAAACCAAGCAATGCCATCGTACAGTGGAAAGAAATACCTCGAAACCAGGTCAATGGTGTACTTTTGGGGTACAGGATATTGATAGAATACTATGACTATTATTCCTATAATCGGACGACCATAACAACAAATGAGACTGGTGTGATTATTGAAGATCTACGTCCTGCTACTCTATATTGGATGGAGATATACGGGTTTACTGCTAAAGGAAATGGACCATACAGTTACAAATACTGGACTACAAGTAAGTTGCTATCGATTACTCTGTAGAAACAAAGACTTGCAACGAACTGCTCCGTCGAATCGTGAATATATCAGTTTTACATTTCTTGGGTCCAAAAAATTAAATATTTTCGACCTTTCTTGTCATTTTCCCTTGTTAATTCTCGTATAATGTCCTCCTATTCCTTTTCTCCTGTTTCGTTTTTTTTTTTGTTCTGTTCTGTATTGTGTTCTGTTCTTTTAGTGCCAGTTCGGAAGTACCATCAATGAAGATTTCAGAGGAACAAAATAAGGATTTCATTAACTTATTAATCAATACTTATAAGAAATTTTCAATTTCTAAGGTTGTGGCRAAGACATCGAGAATCATTCGCAAGGAACGATTACAAGTCCAGACACTTTTAGAAGATGGGTGACGGCTGATTGTTCCTGGAAAATAAAAGCTTCTTTCCAAAAAGCACTTATTTTGATTTTATTTGAAATAGTAGATGTGCCATTATCTTTTCGCTGTGGGTAAGCATGTTCTTTTTATAATCAAAATTAGTTTTACTTGACTTTACTGAGGCVTTATTATTATACATTTTACGCACTTTTTACATCTCACTTCTGAATTGCCGAGAGCCTTCAGCCATGTGTACTTGTCATGATAAGTGTATTATCTGTACGTTTTTCGCTCAAATCACGGTATAATAATACAATTATTGAATTCGGTTTTCGCATGATTTATCCGCTGTTTATCTGCCTCCTACGGCTTCGGCAGATAACACGGCCTTGGTTTTGATAATATACGATGTATATCATGTTTATCCTCATCCAATAGTTATTTATTACTAAAATTCGTCAAATTCCATTTGTTTCGTAATTAGCAGCAATTGTTTTACTATTCTTATGGTAAAAATTTGAATAAGAAAGGAAATTCGCGAAGCATTTTGGTAGTGGTAGTCAAATGGTGCCATCATGAAAACGTGCTATTAATAGTCACAACGAATTTTTGTATCAATTTCAGCGAAAACTATGTGACCCTTACAGATGGGCAAGGGAATGTGGCTGATAAAATATGTGGAATACGACAATCATTCACATTCATTTCGTTTGGTTCAGCTATAGTGCATTATTACGTTCATGAAAGATGGACATGGCGTCAACAAGCTACTATGAAAGCAAGTTACTACATCTTCGACGACGGCATCGAAAGTGGTAAGGATAGCGTTTTTTGTTCTTGTTATTGCAGAAGACCTTTTGCATCACCACTACCAGTATCCCTTATACAATTTCTTTCGTTTRGTTAATTAGCARCAATTGTCTTACAGCAATTAKTGTTTTAYAGCAATTGTCTTGTAAACAGCAATTGTCGTACAGCAATTTTCTTCCAGCAGTTGCCTTAAGGAAGGCAATTGTATTACAGCAGTTGCATTACTAAAACTTGCGATTTCGCTGATGAACCATAGAAAATACCTTTTTCAAGTCATGAACCAACAAATAACTCTAACATTCAAATACAACACCGAGCTCGGGATTAGAATATGGGTTGTATTGGTGAGCGGTAGCGCCGAATAGCGGTGCACACCTTCWGTTCACTTATTTAAGTCTCATTTACATAAGTTTTTTTGCTTTCAATTCTTTTCCTATTCCTTCCTTTCTTTTTCATTTCTTTTACTTAACCTTGTTTTTTTCAATTGTTTTCCAATAATTGCGATAATGTTTTGATTTTTTTTTCAGTACCTATCATTCCAAAGTGGAATATTTCTGCGCTTAGCAAAAATTCAACAACGATAGACGCCCATTGGTCTGATTATCCAGATAAAAGTGTAAGGGTTGATAAATATATGGCCATAAGCACTTGGAATACTAATATAACCGCAGAAACGACAAACGGCGAAGGTAGAAGTGCACAGCTTACAAACCTATTTCCATATACGGATTACAGCATTCAGATACTGGCTTTTATTGGCAACTCTTCAAATGCAAGTTTAGCTAATTGGAATGAAACAGTGAAAAGAAGCCAGGAAGTCAAATTAACGACCCTTGATGATGGTGAGAAACAAGATTATTGCAAATAAAATTGTGTTATTTGTTTTTTTGTTTTTGTTTTTTGTTTTTTTGTTTGTTTTTTGTTTTTTTTGACAGAGAATGTTACATTGCGGCGAGTACAATACATGTGAATTCTAAATTTAGGTTTTTTCCTTAAACTCAGTACCCATGAACAAATTGAAACCAGGTGGAATCCATGCAGCGTTATATAGCAGGCAAATAACTGTTTCCTTGCATCCAGTATTTCTTAGTATTGGTCACACGCAACATAGAAAGAGACTGTCACTAAATCTACACATTTACTTTCGTTTCATAAGATGAGACTCAAATATATGAATTTTGGAGTAGGAATAAAAACCAATGACGGCCTCAAAATGGATATGCAGTCCGTCTATACTAGTTTGACAATTCCTAGTCGTTTGAATATCCAAAGTACTATGCCTAGGCTGATGCCACCTAAAGCAGCGGCAGCCTTCAGTTCACAATGATATTAGATATTGCATCGATGAGAATGACTCGGCCAACAAAACATTACCTTCTAATACCCATCTTATTCGTGTTCGTTTCAGTTCCTAGTAAAGCTCCTTTAAGTGTGCTTGCGCAAACGGCCGGTTTACATAGCATTCTCGTCGAATGGCAGCACATCCCTCGGCAGTTCATTCACGGTGTTATACTTGGATACCGTATTTACTATCAAGTAGCTTGGTCGAGACWTTCCTTTAATAGCACGTTTATCAAGTCGAACAAGACTTCCATTATTCTCAAGGGACTTCAAATRTTTACTCAATACCGTGTAGAGGTGGCGGGGGTTACAAGAATTGGCGAAGGACCACGAAGTCGTGGGATATTTGCAAGAACAGGTGAATTGCGATGGTTTGTTTGTTTGATATGTAATATAACAACGATGCAATATTGTCGTAGCAATTGGCTTAGTTACATTTGCACGTAATGTAGAAGTGAAGACACGTGCATGGAGCTAGCAGCGAAGAATAAAGATGATCGCTCCATTGCGTTTTTTTACTCATTTGCATCCTTAAATCCAAATGAGTACATTTACATCGCTAACGCTCTTGTACGGAACTCTAGTACCTCCAACACCTTTCATTGCATGGTTGGCGAGCTTCTTATATCATTCCCATCATTAATGCTTCGTGCACTGAATTCACTAGCTTTCTTTTTTTTCTTTAGTGTTGGTTTCATTTTCATCGAAATCAGAAGATAGCCTAAACTTTTTAAATCTTCTCTAATTTTCCAATTCTAAAACAATCATACGAATCTATCCATTTTACCTTCCATTCATCACCAATTTATACATTGTTTCGTTTCCATTTTTTCTAATATTTTTTTTCCTATATGAACAAGCAGCAAGTCAAATAAGATGGGCAATGATAACCTGCACTTTTTAAGTTAACTGAGTTAGTGTTATTATACATTACGTTTTCTTAAGGCTGTGACCAAAGATTACCTGGAAGCTTTGGTACTTTTGCAAGTCCAAATTACCCAGACAACTATCCAAGTAACACTAATTGTACGTGGACAGTAGGAAAAGATCTGGCTTTCGAAGACTTATACATCGTCTTCAATTCATTCGAATTAGAAGAAGGGCATGGTTGCAGGTACTAATATTCTTCTGGGTAACTCATGTTTAAGGGCAAGGTCAAAATAATGGTCGAATACAGGGACCCGATTTAATTGATTGAGGTGGTGGGTATACGGACGGAAATACCCTTCCCCCTCGGGTGCCGTTTACATGGGAACTAAGTTGTCCCGGATAGAAGGAATACCCTCTTCCCCGAGCTATGCTGGTCGAGTCAACCTTTCCCTAATTTCTTTGTATTTCTATTTCCGTTTGCATGCGATATTTTGCTTTGCCTCGGCTAGAAGGGTCACCCTACTGTTAGGGTTACCCTCTTTGGGGCCGAAAACTCTTCCCTGGTAGCAGGGATACCCTTTTATCCGAGATAACTATACAGAGCGTTCATATGGAAAGAAGTTGTCCCTATAAACCCGGGACAACTATTGSTTTTAATAGAGATACGCATGCTCAAATGAAAAAGTTTCCTCGGTTAGACAGGTTAAAGTGTTTACATGGGGAAACCTCCCGCGTGTGCCAGGGTAATTCTCTTTCGTAAAGAGTCATACTTGTATGATTACATTTATTTTTGATTTTTAGTTTTGGAGAATATTTGAAGAAGAAATCCAGGATTTCACTTATAGAGGTGGTGGATACCAGAGAACWTCACGCCACCTTTTTCCCCATTAAATCTAGGCCCGTGAGATGTGAAAGTTGTTTGGAACTTATCCAATAGAGGGTGGAGATAGGAGGGKCCAATGTTAGACTAACTTTCCAAACGAACTAAAGTATTTGAATGATATGATTGATTCCAAAATGTAATAACGAGGTTAGGAGAATTCCAAAGTTGATTGACGATGTGGTATTCCTTTTAGAAACGAATTCGTAAACATTAACGATGAAAAAGRCAACTTGGTGCTAGAAAAGAGCTGCGGAAATAAGGATCCCTATGGGATCAACATTGCCAAAAGATACGCTGTGGTTAGAATGCTGTCCGATGGTGGTATCGAGAAAAAAGGCTTCCATGCAAATTACTTCGTAATTGAGGAAAAATCAAAAGGTATCTTTTGCTACACAGCTAATTCAAAAACGGGTTGTCGGGGCCAATAGAGATAACAGCTTATAGGCGAAATACGGTATAGCTATGGGGTCATCACAGGATCGATTACCGTGATTGTGGATATAATGATTTTAAATAAAAAATAATCTAGGTGTCATCTCCAATGATCCTTATGGCTTATCATTTGTCTCCTTTGGCTCAGAAAACTTGAGATGTTTAGAAATGGTAATTTTGTTGAATTTGTTTGATATGTTTATAAACAAATAAAGCCCACWGGGGCATGTTGCGGTGGCGTTAACTGGTAATTGATGGTAATGGTGAAGGTAGTGGTGTTGGCATTAATTGTAGTAGTAGT